TTCTGAGTGAAAAAGAAAAAACAACATGTGATTTGCCATAAAACCAGCTTGTAACAACGCCCTCGCAACTAGAAGTTTAGGTAACAATGAGGCACTCTCGTATCATCGACCAGCTTCGAAGAAGACTGAAGATATGTCTAAAACGCTTCTGGATTCGTCGATTCGAAGATAAATCCACGCACAGAGGCAGAGGCAGGTAGAGTCGACCGTTGATCGCGGATCATAGTCCAGTCAATATGCTAATAACTAATAATAAAATAATTTGTAATAAATTCATTACCAGTGTGAAAGTAATAAATTAGTCTTTAAATAGTAAAAACGGAGATATCGTTATAAGCTGTTTACCAAATTAATGTTTTTTCACTTCACATGCAAATTATGAATATGCAAGCACCGAACGATTGAACGGACGAATGAGTACTGGCCACTTTTACAGATGTTAAATAAATTCATTTACAGATAAAGCGACTGGACCTACAATTTGTGAACTGAGATCTATAGAGTCCCAACAGGTGGGCTGCGATTCACTGTTCAAATTGGCCGATCCTAGAGGTAGATGGCGCGTTGCCCTGTATTATCACACACTTTGGATAGTGTATAGTCGCTATGTTTTCGGTCGTTGTTCGAGAGACACAAGCCTAGAGTAGCCAACAAGCACGAAACAGCCAGACCATAGTTGGATGTCTTTGAACGAAAACAGAGCATGTTTAAATTGAAAGCTAATTATCAAAATTAACTCAAATATGCAAGTAAGGTTAGAACACATGCCACTATTTGACATATTATGCTTGTGCGTTTCAATTGTTTTTTTTATGGCTATGTAGGGTTCTTTTCTGTTGTCTCTCGTATATGGTTTGGTAAAGTGAGTGATACGTTGAGTTTCACTGCTTGGTAGGCAGTACCAGTGCATAGCTAGACTTGTCATTTAATCTTCTTATTAAACTTGAGTTGCAAACATACGTTGTAGCATACTGTATTGTTGTAAAACTCATTTGATGTATCGTAGTGTTTTGCAGCAATATCCTTCGGAACCACAGGAAACAGCCATTTTTGTAAATTCATGAGACAGACACAGCGAGTTCCTAGCAAATTAACCTCTCGACTTCAGCGTCGGCTGTGTGTTCGCTGCTCGAGATTGAATAAATCCCGGGCGAACATGAAAATTCTATCAGGCTGGTTCGGACTCAGTGACTATCCAGTCGTCTTTTGCGTATTCAAACCTTCGTTCCCAAAAAAAGAAAAATTCCTTGTAGTTGATACCTTTGAAGGTTTTTTTTTTGGCATTACTGTTAGGACGTGACGGTTTGGGTGTGTTGTGTGTGGGACTGTAACTGTTAACTGATTGATGCCGGGTTTGTTGTTACGTTGTCAAATAATATTATTTGTTTTTAAAGCAAAAGTGACTGACTCTATACTTCCCACGCTTTTAAAACATTCTTGTTCAATTTTTTATGCAGTGCAACGGCATCATAAAGAACTAGGTTTTGTCCGAACCAATAGTGACTATTTGGATTTTTTCAAGAAAAAAAAAAAGATCCTCAGATTGCAGCAATGAACGTATCCGTACACAGTACCCTCATTTCTTTGGAGCTCTGGTATAAAACTGTTTGTGAACAATGTTTAATAACTGATCAGAGTAGCTCTTGATACATACGTATATACTATAGAACTATATATACTACATACACTATACAATATCACCTCACAAAACCAAGTTACCTGATTTGATTACATATCAAGCATAACGCCCATATATATATATATATATATATATATATATATATATAATATTGCGCCCATCTCATATGCGCATGTCGAGTCGCAGCGCCGTCAGCTACCTGATTTTATAAGACACTCGGATCGAGTATCAAAAATGTAATATTTACAACCTGGTGGTGCACGGCAAGTGCGGCCGATAGCTCCGCGATCCGTTTACTGAAAATATATTTAAGGAAAAATGTACTGATATGTAAAATGGGTCTAATAGGTGCGTAAAATTACCGCGGTTGGAAGTGTATTAATATACTGACATCAAACACTGAGATATTTTCTCCCTTGCCCTTTACAATCCCTAACCACCATTTGTTAACCCTACAAAATGATCGGGAGTCTCTGAAACGCCAAAAAAGTTTTTTTTTTCGTTTTTTGCCTCTCGCGCCCCCCCACTGGGCAAATTTTCAGATAGTACAGAGCTTTTTCGTCCCTGGCATAGAAGTTACCTCGTGTAGAAATTTGATCAAAATCCGGGCGGTACTTTCCAAGTTATAGATGGGCCAAGAATTAGTGAACCGACAGACGGACAGACAGACAGCCTATAATAAATCTTTGTTATCTTTTAATTATGCATTAATTTAATGTATTTTGTACTAAAGAAAATTAATATATACAAAATCCTAGCATTCCAGAGCTACAGGTACATAAATCTAAAATTGTAAAATCTGTATACACATGCTTGAAACGCTATCAGTTCAGTTTAAGTAAAATTGACAACGCTGTAAACCACAGAGCATTCTCCCCTAAAGCTTCGCTTGACAACCCCTTTCCCCAAAAATAATTGTCGCAACCACATGGTGGAGTGATACTGAAAGCTTGCTGAAGGGGCATCCACAGCAGCACTTCTGCAAAATTGTTTTGTATTGCTAAAAGCATGCTTAATGCTCTCTATACACGCTAGCAAAAATATTACTAATTTCATATAAAAGCTGTTACGGTAAATTGTGCAGAATAAACGAATTCGTACTCTCTCTATTTTCAATAGAGAAAGTAATATTCCGATGTTAGATTTACGGACTTTTTGGGTGATAATAATAATAGCTATAATAATAAGAGGACTTTAAACAAATGGCAAAAAGGGGATGTATCAGCGTAAGCTGTTTTTCAAGGTAACATCAATATACATACAATACAATGAGTTTATAATAAGTTAAGAGGAAAACGAATCTTGATGTTGTATAGCTTAGTGGCGGTATAAGAGAAGCTTCTGACAGAGATTATCGTGGCGTAACGAGGAATAAGTGGGAGATTTGTTCACAATGGTCTTGTGAACAAGTGCTGTTAGGTGTAGTTTTCTACGCATCTATTAGACATTTTTCACAAATCATAGAATGCCCGGTACATTTGCTCTTAAAACTTGGAAGGAAAGAAAAATGTTTTCGACAAGCGTCCCTGGGTCCGCTGACTTCAACGGCCGCGGCCGGCATGCTGGTGTTCGAATATATCCTGTATGACTGGTGCTCTGTGGGTGCGCTGCCACGTGTGAAGCATTTTGCTTTCACATATTTTGGAGAGGCGTCGCGACGGGTAGAGCACGGAAAGGATGTTTTGGACTTATTGTGCGGACTTGATCTGATTCATTTTTCTGTTACACATGTTCGTAACTAACTTTTTTCTTAGATAGATAGACAGATAGATATATTTATTGTCTTGTAGATCATAAAATGACATAAGGCTTGTCCTAAGAGGAGGTACATAGTACACATAATTAAAAGTAAAACAAAACAAACATAAGTATTTACAAAGTACAAGCAGGAACAATTTAAGGTGTACAGACATTGATATATAAAAGAGTTTTAAAAATATGTCACAGTCCGAGGTATCCAAAGATAATAATTTTTGTAGTGGACATTTAAAACTAGATGGTCTAAACATGCAGCTTTCGTAGTTCCATTCAAAGACATCTCACAGATAGCTCTTTCGTTCTTTTTTTGTCAACTCATCAGCATGGTTCAGGCTTGGTCTCTGGGACATCGAACCAAAGCATAGCAACTATCCTCTATCCAGTATATAAGCTCTAACTTGTGCTGAACATTATCCTTTATGAACTGATGACGGTAATGCTTGGGAAGTGTAGACTCAACCTAGTAGAAGCATTTTTTTCTTGATAAATGTTTAATCAAGTACAAGTTATTTGCATTTTGCTTCACTATATAAAAAAAGATTAATTGTCATTTGGCGCTTACACTTTCCATATATGGCTGACACTATTCAATGAGGAACTTTGCAGTTTAATTATTCCTCGTGTCTATCCAGAAGGTATATCCGAAGCGAGCAGTTCAGCTCAGATCGTGAGTTGCGGTAGAATTTGAATTGAACGGTTCCGGATTGCCGCCGCCGAAATGCCTTTTGTTATAAATTGTTCTAACGATCTGCGGTTTGGATCCGGGAAAGCAGGACGAAGCATCGTCGTTTCTGAACGCGACTTCCGAATAATAGGGCTGACTATATATGTTGCAGACTGGTGATCCAATTGAACAGACAGGATTTTAGGAGGATAATTGGTTTTGCTCTACCTATGCAAGTTTTGCTGATTTTTGGTGGATTCATATCTGTAGTGCATGATTCTAAACTAAAGCAGGAGAGTTAAACTAAAGCAGGGAACGTGTCTTTCATTTTTTATAACTCCTATGATAAATCGGACAGGCTTCAACTCATTCGAGGTCTGTTTGAAGAAAGCCTATGAGGCAGCAGGGAGGTGTCTGCGGTGTCTTCTATAGAAGCAACTTTTGCAAATGCTCGCTACCAAATCAAGGTTACACATTTGCAACAGAAAATGTTAGTGAAGCTACAGGACCTACCTATCCACTTAGCCCTTCAGCAGCCAGGGTATGAATGAAGAGGCCAATATAATGTCTTAAAACCCTACACTAGGACTTTAGGTAGAATTTCTCTGATCTTAACACCCCCCCTCCACCCATAAAGGAGGCTCTGCAAAGCCGCGCGGGCAGGGCAGATCTGATGGCAACTGCCTTATGACTATCGGATGCTCGTACAAATATAATGAGATCGCACCTGTCAGATATCTGTCACAAATAAATTGGTATTACCCTATTTTGGAGAACCTAATGAAAGCTGACTTAAGTGAAAACGTAGACGGACATCGTGCAGACGGACTCAAGCAGCTATGTATTGTATGTAACATAGATAAACCTTTCTATACCATTTTTCGAATGAGCGTATCTGGAACACAGAGTATAGTAAACAACTCGAGAGGTAGGAAACATGGACGCAGGCGGGATTCGTACCCGCATCTCCCTACGTTCTGTGGAGCCGACATAACCAATTAGTCTACAGCTCCAGCTATCAACAAACTTTCAGAATCGACTGTTAGAGACAAATTCAATCCTACCCACGCTACTGTTCCTTTCAGCGAACAGTATCACAAGACTGCAAAACTTATCTGAATGGTCTAGCGTTCCAAGCAGACAATAATTCGTTGCACGTCTGTACAGTGCAATTGTTATCACAAAATGACGTTATCGACGGTAGTCTTGATAGATGGACGCGTGTTTCCGGGTGTTCAAATCAGCGAGGGCATGACTTGATGGTGATGGAGAGGAGAGTGTCGACTGTCTACGCAGAGGGATCCTTTGTCAGCTAACATGCAACGAGCCTGTGGTCGGTATAGTCCTGTTGTCAACTCATCAATCATTCGACTGTACCCACGAGCTAGATGTACTATGGCATCAATGCCCCATCTGCGATTTTTTCACGTTATCTATTGAAGGGGTATAGAATAGGGCTTGGAAAGCGGCACAACATAATAGTGTTTCTTAAGTAAAATTGATAAAAAGAACATTTGTTTGGAAGGTCAAATCAAGATCGCCTAGGCTTGGTCTCGGTAGAACAATAAATCGAGCAACTTGTATTTGGTGTATCGTGGGAGTCGGATGCAACCCCCTGGGCTCTTCAATTTTTTAGTTGCCAGCAATACAGGGTGTCCGCAAAGTTGGGGTTTTCCTTTACACGACGTGTAGATCTTGAAAACATAAGCAATTTTTCTTAGTACCATATACATATACACCAATGTCTTAAGGGAACCGAGATAAAGGGCTCTGCAACATCAAAAATATCTGAATACCGTCCTGTAGCCGCGACTCGCGATATCCCCAACTGTTACCGGCTACTAGCTCAACCCGACGACAGAACTGAGTCGGGGGTCGGGGTCAGTGTGTCAGGTCAGTATGCAACCTTCAACCGACGGTTACGGTCACGCCTGTAGAGGTAAACGAACTCGTATAATCGATTGCGTAGTTAAAAAACAACAAGCACTAGAAACGTGGCTAGAGAAGTGCAAGTATCAAAAACTAAAGTGTGACAAACGCTGCGTGAAGAGGGGCTGTATCCGTTTCACGTCCAACGTGTACAAGCCCTTCAACCTGACGATTTTCCAGCAAGAATGCGGTTTTGTGAGTGGTTGTTGCATCAACATGACAATAATCCGGACTTTTTGAAGTGCATTTTGGTGACAGACGAATCTACGTTCACGCGTAATGGGGTGAATAACTTTCGCAACACTCATGTTTGGTCATTACGCAACATTTTGCCTTCCTTGTTTGCCTGCGTCTGCTCGGTAGCGCATCATCTGATTTCATTTTCTGTTGGAGCGGTATGATTTCGGGCAGAGACGTACTTAGCCCTTCTCGTCAACTGGAGAGTGAGTACTTTTTCCTTTATTTTTTTTTACTTGGTCGCCCTCGTTTCACTACACATTACCTTTGTTATTTCAAGGGTAGTTGTTTCTGAAAAGGAAAACCCCAACTTTGCGGACACCCTGTATAGTGATGGGGGCACTGTGCTGTCAGGCAACTCATAACCTACAAACGTTCATGTCTGACAAGGGTAAAGCAATAGTGATTTGAGAACTTCCGTTAAATTGACACTTGACAGTTCGCACGCCCGTTAAAGCGGCATCTTTTTTTTCTACACCGAAGCAGCCGCATAGGCAGAGGCCTAAATACCGGGACAGCGCGGCTGCTATGAAGATACCAAAGAAATTTTGTTAATCTGATTTTTTTAACTGCCTAAGGTTAGTAGAACTTCCTAAAAGCTTCCTCTTGTAGATTGTTCCAAAATCTCGACACTCTCGGGAAAAAGGAGCGGTCGAATCGGCCAGTTGTGAATGTATGAAGTTCGATACGGTTAGGATGGGAGGCCAAAGTCAGTCGCGTCTATCTGGCAGGCACATTGCGCGACAGCATCATGGAAGAGAGCTTTAAGGAGCAAAGTCCGTTGGAGTAGCGGTAGAAGAGAGCTAGATCGCCGACGGCCTGCCGGTGCGAAAGGGTCCCGAGACTGTCGGTTAGACTCATCGATCAGCTGGACATCTCTCCTCCAGGTCTCTCGTCAAAGAGGAAGTCGTCGCTGGTCTTCTTTTTCCAGCTCAGCGGCAGAGATCGGCTTATCACTTTGAATTCCTGCATGTAGAGTGCTGTCATCAGCGAAGCTGTGGATTGGGTTGGTCCCACAGGAAAGGAGGTCGTTGATATGTAAAAGGAACAGTGCGGGAGCCAAGACCAACCCTGGGGAACACCCGCGTTGCCAGTCAATTCGATCGAACGCAACCGACTTGAGCCTCACTGTAAGACTGGATGAGTTTACTCCACAATTACCTGGCATAAGCTAGGAGGTGCCCTGTGGATTGCTGGTGCCGGAAACCAAACTGTCGCTAATCAAGCCGTGAGGTTCGAGGTAGTCCAGAAGCTCGCGATTAATGAACCTCTCCATCACCTTACTTAAAGTAGAAAGCAGAGCTATAGGCCTGTTGTAATGGTCGCTCTTAGATTTTTTTTTAGGATGGGTTGGACATGAGGAAATCTTTTGACAAAGTAGGCGCCGGGCGCATATATTCAAAAAGATGCCGCGTTGCATGGGCGTGCGATGTGTTTAGCACTCAAACCGCCATATTGGAAAGCAAATTGCTTAGCCTTTTCAATGCTTTCTAATGTAAGTACCTAAGTGGGATAAGCCTTGTTCTGATTCGTGGGTAATGAATTCAGTCCCTCGTATTTTATACTTTCTTTTGTCTAGCACTACGGTCGACATCAAGCTCTTATGAAAATTTTACTTGCTGCACATTTTTTGGCAGGTAATTACCTTGTAACTGTTTTTCTAATAGACTGGTAAGGTACATGGTGATATCGGCATTGCATATACCACATGTTGCGGAAATAGCGGCAATGAAGTTAGAGCGAAATTTAATTATTATGGCGATGATATACACAAACCGTTCGGGCATTTAGGTTATGTAATGATGAGAGGATGGAAACACACGTGTGCATATGCCGTGATGGAACTGAAATTAATTGTCTTTTCGAAAGGGCTAATAAGCGCGAACCCACCGAGCAGCTGTTTGTCAGAGGTTTGCTACAATGTCGAAAATAAATATGGAAGTATGTACACTAGAGCCCAGCAGACATACTTTTCGCCAATTGAATTCTACATGAGCTGAACTTTTCATAGTCTTATGTCATACATTTGTTGGTAACTTAAGGTAGCAGGGTGGTGAGAAATGTTTAGAAAAATGGCGTTTTTAATAAACATTTTCCATGAAAAAATTCGTCCATGTGTCCAATCCACCAAGCTTACAGATATGTCAATTAGATTGCAAAATTATTTCCCATGGATTCACTATATTTATGTAACGCGAAAAGTGTGGGAACGACTTATATTTTTTTACTTTCCATGTCACACTGGCGAAACATTTCGAAAATGAGATATTATGGTTTTTGGATGTAATATGAAAAACCGTATCACTTATTTCCTTCTGTTTGTCTGTCCGCTAATCCTTGGACCGCCTATAACTTGGAAAGTACTCTAAGGACGAAAAAGCGATGAAAATCGTTACAAAGAGTATGCACTAGAAACAAAAGACAAAAAAAATATAAAAATCGCTCAAACTGTGTTGTTCGACGTTTGCTATGCCACAAAATTCGAACGGCGCTCTGAAAAAAGGAAACAAATTCCTTGGATTAACTGTTGTCAACAATTGTGCTTATAAAAAAATCTTATATTGAATATTATGAAAGTCACTTTAGTAGCATTGTCCTTCCAAGTGAAGTAGCAGGTATAATTTTGTACAACATTCTAAATCTCTGTACCACATCTAAAACACCAGCAGCAGTAGCTGTTTATGGAAGCAATTGATAAAAGAAAGCATTAAGTGAAAGTCCTCGTTTTTTCTCGAATCGCTGAAAAACTAGTCGGAAAGAACCATACTAGAATTATTTTCTGTTTCAGATAATAGTTTCGTCAAGATTTCTAATAATGATTTTTTGAATGATTGAAAATTGAAATATTGAAAATTTGATATAATTTTTATGAGGTGAAAGGTTTTCAGGTCTCTTGCATTAAATTGAATCAGCTATCGTTAAATGTATGATGTCAGATTCTTTCATCAGTCTGCGTTCCATATTATTCTTAGATTGATATCTACATGTTTTGATTCAATCGTATCTCTCTTTTTTGTAGTAATAATTTAGTTATCGCTGAGGCTATATCCCACGTACTGTCGAGGGACCTATGTGATAAGAGATTTTTTTTATTTTGAGATAGTAGCCTCTTGGAATTGATATGAGTATCAACCTTATGTTACAAAAATCCACCTGACTACTATGTGTCTCTACGCTTACCTTTCATTTGTGTGTGTTTTTTTTTCAGCGCCGTGTAACATCAGTAATCTTTATGCCAATTTTGAACAAATGGTGAAGCTATATTTTGAGAAACCATCAACTGAAGGGTACCTATTCGGTACCTGATCACGAAAAACAAAATAATTTCAGTCATCCCCAAAATTTTAGAGGCATCAGCACTAAAATAAAAAATAATATTTGTTTTTAGCATTACTGAGTTTTATTATTTAGAGAGCATGTGTTCTATGTTTTAAAAATTCCAGATTTTTAGGCGCTTTTTCTGGACTCTGTTTTTGTTTACTTTTACAACTGTTGTCTCCCCTAACCATTTTCAAAAACCATCACAACTGTCAGGATATAATAATATAGAAATGGGGCGTTGTTGCGTAATTTGATGCTAAAAATCGGAAGCACCCCTTCGCTTTCCTATAAATTAAACCATTAAATTGTCGGCGATGGAGGGTTAAAATCAAAATTTCTTACTAAATGGTGTAGTTAAAACTTGTTTCAGAATGAAGTAAACATTTTAAGACACCTGTGTTTTAACTCTTGTTGTGGGCGACGAATTATGACAAGTAAACAGCTCAACTTATACAAGAGTAAGTAGGGATTCACCAAGTCAAGTAGCTTGATATTTTCATAAAATACTTGACAATAAAATTACTTG